GTCACGGTTGTAGTCACGGTCAGGACCGTGACTACACCCTTCGTAAATGCCGAAGTCAGGCCTGACGGTCAGAGGGGCGCTGACCGGAATAGTCACGGTCCTTACCGTGACTATGACCGTGACTATTTTCAAATTTTGAAAATAGTCACGGTCATAGTCACGGTAAGGACCGTGACTATTCCGGTTAAAGGCGGCTCTGACCGCGTCGCTGACATCGTCAATTACGAAGGGTTTAGTCACGGTCCTGACCGTGACTATGACCGTGACTAAACAATTATATAAAACAAACACTTAGCGTTTTTTTAAAAACCTACGCACCCTTTCTCCCAAACCCTAACTTCCTCTTCCTTCTCTCTTCCCTCTCTTCCAGTTTAGATAGTGCCTAGCCGTCGCCGCCTAGCCGTCGCCGCCTAGCCGTCGCCGCCTAGCCGTCGCCGCCTAGCCGTCCGCCGTCACCGTCTAGCCGTCCGCCGTCGTCCTCCGGCCGCCTTCGTCCACCTTCTTCCGTCGGCCCTTCTTCAGTCAAGGTTATGTGTTCTGTTCATCTTATTTTGTAATATTTGATTAAAATTCCAAAAATGCATGATTGTATACTCAAATGCATGATAAGATGCATGATTTTTAGTTTCATATCATTTTGTAATCTTTAAAAGTTGTATGTATGATTTATTATATGCATGATTTGTAGTTTTGCATGATAATTTCGTTTTATATGTTTCGTATGCATGATTAATATATGTTCAAATGTAGATTATTTTATGTTTAATATATGTTCATATGCATGATTAATATATTTTCATTTTAGTGTTTGATTTGCATGCCTCTCTATACATATGCACTACTTTAAATTTAATTTCCGAAAATATTTAATTTAGGTTAATATTTAAAAAAAACTGTTTAAATAAATAGTCCCTCGTGTTAAACTTCCAAAAATAGTTTAACACGTTTAAATATAATTTCTGTAATATCCATTAACAAAATATTAAACATTTAAATTTAATCCCGAAAAAAACTGGACGAAACACTGTTTTTTATAATAGTATAAGCATAAAAAATTATTTTTATTTTTTATATTATAAACTGTTTTTAGATAAACTGTTTTTCCAAAAACTGTTTTTATACAAACTGTTTTTATATAAACTGTTTTTATAATTTATCTAAAAAAATCTGTTTTTATATAAACTGTTTTTATAAAAACTGTTAATTAAAAACTGTTTTATTAAACAGATTTTTGAAAAAAACAGTTTTTATAAAAACTGTTTTAATAAAAAGTGTTTTTATAAAAACTGTTTTTATAAAAACTGTTTTTATACAAACTGTTTTTATATAAACTGTTTTTATAATTAATCTAAAAAAACTGTTTTTATACAAACTGTTTTTATATAAACTGTGTTTATAATTAATCTAAAAAAAACTGTTTTTATAAAAACTGTTTTTATAAAAACTGTTAATTAAAAACTGTTTTATTAAACAGATTTTTGTAAAAACTGTTAATTAAAAACTGTTATTGTAATTTAATTAAAAACTGTTTATATAAAACCTGTTTATATAAAAACTGTGTTATATAATCTGTTATTGTAATTTAACTAAAAAAGTATAAAACTGTTTTTTAGACATTATAAAAAACGTTTTTTTGTATAAACTTAAACTATACTGTTTTTCTAGAAAAACAGTTTGTATAAAAACTGTTTTTTTATTTAAAAAGTGTATAAAAACTTTTTTTATAAACTGTTTTTGAAAAAAAAGTATACTGTTTCTAGGAAACAGTTTGTATAAAAACTGTTTTTTATTTAAAAAGTGTATTAATACTCTTTTTTATAAACTGTTTTTGAAAAACTGTTTATAAAAATTGTATAAAATTCATGTATCTTAAACACCAAAAAAAAGATGGCCTCTCATGTAAACTTTGCAAAAAGTTTAACATGTTACTTACAATTGTAAATGTGTATAAAACAGATAAAAAAATGGCCTCTCATACAAACTGATATGACTGATAAAAAAAAGATGGCCTCTCATATAAATTGATATATCGAAAACATAAAAAAATGATCTCCCCTCATGTAAACTTTGTAAAAAGTTTAACATGTTACCTCCAAGTGCAATTTATTACCAAATTATTTAAGAACTTATTATGAAAAAATATGGACCCCTCATATTAAACTAAAAATAGTTTAATATGCTATACACATTTTCAATTAATAATACTTGTATAAATTTTTATAGTGAAAAATAATAAATATACCCCAAACTTTAAAATAATAAATATACCCCAAATTTTTATAGTGAAAAATAATAAACTGTGTATAAGTTTAATATGAGTGGTTCAATAATTTCTAATAAACTCATCCTATAATTTATCAATGAGTTGACCCAGTCGATCGAAGAATCGATCAGTTGGAGCTTGTCAATGAGTTGACCTAGTCAATTCTTAGATAAGCTCCAATCTGTGGATTCTTCTGGCTACGGCTTGATCTTCTATTATAAGAGTTCTAACAAAAAACAAATTAAATTAATATATTTTAGATGAGCAACGAACAATCGACCTCAGCTCCCCGACCTAACTATGCGCCCATGTCCGAAGCGGAACGCAACAACGAAGGAGCTGTTTGGGTGACCCCTGCAGATGTTGCTTTGTAAGTAGTTATGATCAAACCTTATTTTCAATAATTTTAAATAATGTTAAATAATCTAACCAAATGTTATATAAATAAATACTATTAATTTTTTTTAAGTGACGAACAAGTGTTCAAAGGCATCAAAAGCATAATCGGAGGACACTTTCTTGGCACTTGGGCCACGTACTCGGATGTTGACCCCAAGGTTCGCGAACTATGGTGGAACCTGTTCAAGGTAAAAATAAATGAATGTTCCCTCCCTTATTGTATTGGCCTAATATATACCTAGTGATTAATTAATTCAATTTGTTTTAATAAAGGCTCGCTATCGTTGGACTCACGCAAACGGTCCCGATATTCTTAGAGCCTTCAATGCTAGGATTTCGACCTGGCTTCGCGCCACTTTTAAGCGTGCCCGGAAAAGTGCGAAAAAGCCTAAATGGGTTTCGGATGAAGTGTGGTCCAACCTTTGTCGCCACTGGTCTTCTGATCCGAAATTCTTGGCCAGAAGTGAATCCGGTAAGAAAAACCGGATGTCCGAGAAGGCCTTGGAGATGCAGTGGCACGGAGGTCGCAAATCTCAGAATGCCCATAAAGAAACTCTTGTAAGTGCTATTCAAAAAACCTTACACCATCACAGTCCTTCATTATAAAAAATTTACTTAAGTCTTTTTCACACCATTTAGGCTGGTCCCGAGAAGAAGAGGGTTGATGTTATCCGGCTCGTCAAGCATTGCTGGACGAAGCACGGCGAGGAATCTGAAGCCGATCTGCCACCCCGCCTCGCTGACTTCGAAGTATGTAACATCATATGTTGTTATTTAGTAACATTTCAAATCTAACCATGTAGCATTTAAAAAATATTTTTTAAAAATGCAGACGAAGTACAACGAATCCGTTGACAGGCAGCGTGCGGCACGAGGCTTGACCCAGGAGGACGACCTCGATTCCGATGCGGATGATGAGGCGGCCATTGAGGCGGCCGGGGTTTACAAGGGCCGGGTTCCATGCTTGGGGGCCGAGGGGCAACGGATTTTGTATGATCGAAGCACCGGCGCTTCCTCTTCTCGGTCAAGGCGGGGAGAAGATCCCCGTATTGCTACAATGCAGCGTGAACTAGAGGAGCACGAACGACGATGGGAGGAGCAGCGGAAAGCAGATGCTGCCACAAAAGCCCGGTTGGAGGAGATGGAACGGTACATGCGTGCCGGATTCCAGCCTCCGCCACAGCCTTTTCCTCCCCCGTACGTATTCCACCCTGAGCAAACTCCTCAAGTTCCGCACATGGGCGGTATGGGATTTTTTCCCAACTCCGGATATGGTGGCATGCCTATGATCTCCCCGAATTTCGGTTCTATGTCCTTTGATTTTGCGAGGTCATCCGGAGGAGGTAGTGGCACACCGAGCCACGGAGGCCGAGGAGCACCCCGAGGAGGACCCCGAGGAGCACCCCGAGGAGGAACCCGACCTGACCCTGAAGACCCCCCCGTGAACCCAGATGAGTTTCTTGTTGATGATGAAGATGAAGAAGAAGAAGAAAATCCAGATTTTTTTCATAATGGAGTCCCACGAAGGGACATGTAATCATCATACATTTGTACTTTGTTGTTTGTCAAAACATTTAAAAGTTTGTCACAATATTTATTAAGTTTGTTGTATGTCTTTACTCTTTAAAATGTAATTTTAAATTTAAAAAATTAGAATAATATTTTCAATAATTCAATAGTATAAAAACATGGATAAAAATTAGAATAACATTTTTAAATTTAATTTGTAAAAATACGTGTTAAAAAGTAATTTTTAAAAACAACTTTCATAAAAAAATGGAATTTTTTTTTTTACAAAACAAAAATAGTAGTCACGGCCATATCCGTGACTACAGTTAATTCGAAATTATTATTTGTTTTTAATAAAAAAAATTATTTTTTTTTAAAAAAAAACTTAGTCACGGTCGACAACCGTGACTAGTTTCAAAATTTTAGATTACACCCGCGGGCGGTCTTTTGAAAATTTTGAAAATTTTAAAAATTAGTCACGGCCCACAGCCGTGACTAATATTTATTTTTAAAAAAAAAAAATTATAGTCACGGTCACATGCCGTGACTAACATGTCGGAGTGGGGTTTCCGGCATCAAATTAGTCACGATCAACGACCGTGACTAATCCGTGACTAAATTTAGTCACGGTTATGTGGCGGTGACTTCATTTAGTCACGCCAATTAAGACACGGATTTAGTCACGGCGGATGACCGTGACTAAACTTTTTAGTCACGGAAATTTTACACTGCAGTCCGTGACTAAATCCGTGACTACGCCCGTGTTTTTTTGTAGTGCAACTCTGAATCTCAAAATCTTTGAGAAACTATCCCCATCAGTCAGAACCTGATAGAGGTGAAGGAAACCAAAGAAAATTAAATCAGAAAAACAAAATAGTCAATCATCAACAAATTTCTATCGATTCTTTGAAATCAGAGCCATAAATATCACCCCCAGAAGTTGAACCCCTGTTCACATTTTTGCTACAATACAAATAGCATCTTCTTTTAGCATGGGGGCATTGACAGATCAATAGAATTTGGGACTGCTCCATGTACGTTTCTTCATTTCCTATATATTTTGCAAGACACAAGGATTATTTCTACCCTTGCCTCTTTAGTCTCTGACAGAACCTAAAACAATAAAGTATGACACTAATAGGAAAATTACCCAGGAGGAGGAAGAAAAATTGCACTACGATTAGTCCACGCGACCACAACCGGTTGGACTAGATGGGCTGAAAGGAAATTATCACACAACACAATTAATCATTTTGAAAGTATAGAGGTCAATTCAACTCGATAATTTATCAGTGCAACCTTTATTGATTAATATGGGTTGGGTTGATGATGGTTCAACTCATAGTAACCAACTTAAATGCAGGTCGGAACATTTAAATTCCAAATTAAATGCAGGTTGGGGTAATTAAAATCTAATATAGGTTTTTGCTTTCCCATTACAAGAGTTTAGAAGAGACCTTTTAAAGTCCCGGGTGTCCAGAGTCCATACCTCTTCTCACTGTACAATGTAGTCCACAGTGGAGGGCCCCAGTTGGCAGTGACGTCGAAACGCCAATAACCTATTGGTCTCTATCAATTTTTCTTTTGCATTTTAAAATCATGAGCTTGTGAAGGTGTCATTGCTGTCCAACTGATTAATTCCCTGTTTGGTAGCATGAGTCGGCTTCTTCTGATTATTAGCATAATCAGCAAATAATAATAGTAAGAATAAGTAACGTGTGACTTGCTTATTTGGCTGAAACCGATTTAAGCAGGTCTTTAACTTTCAGAAAACTAAAAGATTCAATTATTTCAGCCGGATAGGTTTCACCAAACATGCCATATGTTAACAGTACATCTATGTCTATACTTATATGAATGAAACATGCACACACCACATGGTAGTTGAATGAGCAAAAATTAAACTAAGCTCTTTCTTAAGAACCTGTAAGGTCAAATTCACCAGCTTCTGAATGTATCATTGTTTCCAGCAACCCATGCAACATAGCTTCCATCATTCCACTCTGTAAGTGTGACAGATCTAAAGAAGAAAATACATGTGTCTTGTTATTCATTCCCTCTAACCAACTAAAACCCGGATCTTTCTCAATCACCGTCTCTTTTATCTTTCTCCTCATCTCTCTGACATCATCCCATCTTCCCACAGCAGCGTAAAAATTTGAAACTAATATGTTTGTTGCACTGTCCGTCGCATCCAAATCAACCACATGTCTGGATGCCCTCATCCCTACTATTAAATCTCCATAGCGAACACAATAGCTCAGAAGAATCCTCCATGCTTCAAGGTGATGATAATCACCAACCGGGAGTTCTTCAATAATGAACTCTTCTGCCTCCTCTAGCAACCCCGCCCGACTCAACAATGCAATCATGCAGGAGTAGTGTTTGGGTCCCGGTTTTATCCCTTTTTCTTTCATGGAGTTCCACAAGTGCTTCGCCTTGATGAACAAACCGCTATGGCTACAAGAGGAGAGCAAAGACAAAAATGTTACCTCATCTGGTTCTAGACCATTGTTTATAATCTCATTGAAAGTCCTGAATGCATGTTCAGGCTGCCCATGATATCCATACCCTCCCAACATTGCATTCCAACATTTTAAATCTGGTTTATTTGTAAGTGAAAACACAAGTTTTGAAGATTTGAGGTCTCCATTTTTGGCATACATATCCACAAGATTCCCACAAATACTCATTTCAGAACCACACCCTTTCTTCATCACAAGGCAATGAACCATCTCTCCTTGTCTAAGAGTTGCTCCTTCCGCACAAGTGTTGAGAATTGCGCTAAGAGTGAATTTATCAATCTCTAGACCGTTCTGGAACATTCCATGGAATAATCTGAGAGATCCATCGGTGTCACCGATTCTACAATGGCCGACTATCATGTCAGTCCAGAGAACTATATCTTTCTCTGAAACTGAAGAGAATATCTTTTGTGCTGAATCAGCTTCATTGATGTTAAAGTACAAGGTTAACAATGTACTCACAATATAGACGTTACTCCCGAGTCCCGCCTTCTCAGCTTGGGCATGAAGGGGTTTCCCATAATACTCCGCCTGATATGCACATGTGGCAGAAATAATAGATGCAAAAGTATATCCATCTGGTGGGCTTAGAGATCTTTGTAAAAACTGGACAAACATTCTCATTGCACTCTCTCCGTCTCTGTTCTCTGCATATCCAGATATCATTGAGTTCCAAGACACTGAATCCGGATTGTCAATCTTTTTAAAAATATCCAATGCTGTTATCACGTCACCACAATTACAATACATATCAAGAAGAGCATTGTGTAAAGGTAGGTCAGCATATACCCCAGATAGGATCAACTGAGCATGAAGAAGTTTCCCTGTGCGATAATCTCTCAACCTGCTACATGCATTCAATAACATAGAGAAGGTAAAATGTGTGGGAATAACTGCAGTGCTCAGCATGGTTTTGAAAAGTTGAAAACATTCTATGATCTCACCATTTTCAATGTGCCCGAAAATTAAAGAATCCCAAGCAAATGAATCTGCTTGAACCATACCGCTAAAGACTTTGTTTGCGTGGACCAAATTGCCACAGTTCGAGTACATCCCCAGTAGAGATGTCTGGACACGAACATTCATCAGGCAATTAAACTTCAAACACTGGGCGTGTATCATGCAACCCAGAATCCAGTTTTTTATGGTAGATGATGCCTTTAATAGGCTCGTAAAGGTTGAGGCATTGGGGGCGAGTCTCTCCTCTTGCATCCGTGTCAATAGTTGGAAACAGAAGACACCCAGACGGGGACAAGAAGAATGTGCAGACACTAGGGCGTTATATGTGACTACGTTTCTTTGTGGCATACAATCAAACACCTTCCTAGCATCCGAAAGAGATCCGCATCTCACATACATGGACAGGATGTTGTTGAATACATACGGAGATTTAGAAGCCGTGGACGTGGAGGTGACAATGAGGCCATGAAGCTCCTGCGCTTTTCTGAGGAATTTGACGGTTGTGCCCCTTTGAGCAAGGACAGGGAGGAGGTTGGTTATGAAGGAAGAAGCCTCAAGTGACGATGACATGTAAGAGATCACTACAGTGGAACTTTTTTTACCATCCTCGTTTTACTTTTTGCCATCCGCCCTTTCCCTTTCCCCTTACCATCCTCTCTCCGATGGTGAGTTTCACAGTCTCACCATCCACCCTTTCATTCTCTCTTCATTCCTCCGTCTGCACCCCTTCTCTCCCTTACCTTCTTATTTCTCCTCTTTTGACCATTCGTAGTGGCTGGGCGCCATGGAATTTATACTTGATAATACTTTGACTTTCCAGCGATTCAGCGAACGGGGCGCCGGTGCCGGAGTTTTGCTCTATTTCCAATAATCGGTAAATTTCGGTTTTTCGGTTTTTCTTATGGATTCTTTACTCTTTCGGTTTTTCTTATGGATTCTGTATGATGACAACTTTTATTTTCCTGAATGATGACAACCAAATTGCTTTATCTTTAAGGCTCTGTTTGTAAACTCAATTGGGAAGTGTTTTTAACTTTTTTAAATGATTAGGTAAAAAAGTGATTAATACTAAAAGTTGGTAGTTTTGAGAAAAAAGTGATTTTGAAAAGTAAAAGTTGGTGGTGTTTGGTAAAATAAGTGCTTTTTGTATAATAGAAAAAGTAAAAAGCAGATTCTAACTTTTAGCTTTTAAGTAATTCATTTAAGTAGAAGTTCCCATTTGAAAATATCTTTTTAGCTTTTTTAAGCCAAAAGCTGGGAAATGATTTTTTAGTTGTGTTTGCAAACAGAGCCTTAAAGTATGAAAGTGTATCTTGAATGCTTAACTCCAAGCCATTATAAAGGATTAAACCTGACCCCAATTTGGTCAAAGCTATAATTGACTTTGACTCAAAGGTTAAGTTAAATTTATTAATACTACGTAGTAATCAAGATGTTAACTAGAAACTATTTCTCATCTCTAAAGGAGTGTTTGGGTTTGCTTAAAAAAAGCACTTTTCAGCTTTTGGCTTAAAAAAAGATGAAAAGAGTGTTTTCAAATGACAGCTTCTGCTTAAATTAATCACTTAAAAGCTAAAAGGTGGAAGCGGGTAGAAGGGTGCTTTAAACTGCTTCTCACTTTTTCTATTACACAAAAAGTACTTATTTTAACAAACACTACCAACTTTTACTTTTCCAGAATCACTTTTTTCTCAAACACTACCGACTTTTACTATTAATCACTTTTCCCAAAATCACTTTAAAAAATCACTTTTTTAAAGTTGAAGCAATTGCAAACACTCCCTAAGTAATGAATATAACTTGGAGATTAGTAACACCCAATTCTAAAACATAAGTGTTATTCACCTCATGCATTGTTATTGTTGATGAAAATGATTTATATTTTACAAGCTTCTATGATAATGTATTTACACAGTGAATCCTAAAAATGTTGATATCAATCTAAAATCATATGCTTCTGAAAATCACACTTAACAGTGAATCTTGAAAATGTTGATCTACGCAATTAAATCAATTGCCAAATAATAATTCTCCGTTCCAATTAAATCCTGATAATATACTCAATTTTTAGTAATTAAAATTTACATATTTAGAAACTATATTTAGAAATCTTTTCAAAATTGCAAACTTCAAATTCAAATATAAATACAAATTGACATCCTAATTAGGTAAATAAAGTAAAAACGTGTAATTAAGAAAAAACAATTTTATAAATCAATTTGAAATGCATCCTAATAAATAACTTGACCGATCACATGCAGACAATTGATTCGGCGCGAAGGACTCGAACCAAGTTTCAAAATTTAGCAAAGTAAAATCCCCTATTTATTTAAACTAAAAGGTCGACGACCCTTGCGGGAGTAGGCGGTGGATATAGGTTAGGGTTCAGGCAGCCTTCGTAGCATCAAAATGAAGGAGGAGATTAGTATATCGTCAGACGAAGAGGATGTAGGAATTATTTGGAACCACACAAACTTTACCAAATAAGGTATGAGACAATCTTAGTGGGACGAACCGAAAAGGTAAAATGGGACAATCATAGTGGGACGGAGGGAGTAGTTGAGTGTGAGAGTTTGTTCCTCCTATTGTAATTTTGTTCTTGATATTGAATAGAAGAATTTTCCAATCCCAACAAGTGGTATCAGAGCGAGGTTGAGTTTCCATACATTGTTTTCTCATTTTCAGATAAATTTGTACAGATTAGAAAATCGTGATTGTTGAAGTTGCTCGGAATCACGATCTGATCATACCGTTAGATCCGTCTCGTCGAGACGAGAAATCTGGTATTTTTTGGGAATTTTTTGGCCACCGGAAGAGTCCGTACGCGCCGCCCAAACGCCGCTTGAAAACTGCCTGCGTCATCACTGCGTCATCACGCAGTCCAGAGGAAGAAGACGAGACACGTCAGCCTCCACGTCAGCGCCACATCGGACCACGTCATCACCACGACATGCTGAGTCATCACCCACGTCATCCACTTATTCATCCCTCGGTCGCCACGTCATCTGCCACGTGGCGCCACGTCAGCGCCATCACAGAGCCAGCTATAGCCATGTCATCCGCTTGTTGGTCTGCCCACTCGGCTGCTGCCTGAACTGGACCGAACCCTGTTCTTAGTTGTGGAGGCCGGTTCACCCATTTTCAGACCGGTTTTGGACGAGGTCAGACCGGTTCCTACCATTTTCGGCCATTCCGGAAATAATGGTGAGCTCCTTTTGTCTAAATTCGGCTCCGAAAATAAGGTACGAGATATTTTGAGCGTTTTATGATGGATAAATCATCCTCGGACAACATGATTGCGCTCACTTCCACAAATTACAATATGTGGAAGCCTCGGATGGAGGATTTGCTAAATTTGAGGGATTTAGCCGATCCTCTTGATAATAATGGCGTGAAACCGGATAAAAAGACGGATGAAGAATGGACAAAAATGAATAGAAAAACTGTCGCACAAATTCGGCAGTGGATCGATCATAGTGTGTTCCATCATGTTGCTCAAGAACAGAGTGCTTACACACTATGGGAGAAGCTTGGTAGCATGTATCAAGCAAAAACCGCTCGAAATAAGACGTTACTAATGAGGCGATTAGTAAACCACAAATTGCAAGGTGGTTTTTTGGTGTCAGAACACACCAGTCAATTCCAGGATCTTGTGAATGAATTGAGCACCACCGGATGGGTTCTCAAAGATGAAGAGCAGGCGATACTACTCTTGAGCTCTCTACCTGACAGCTGGGAGACCGTTGTTGTCACACTTAGCAATTCTGCTCCTAATGGTAAGGTGACTATGCAGATGGTCACAGACACCCTTATGAATAAAGAAGCCCAAAGGAAGGAAGTCGGGACAGAACAATCATATGCCTTCGTGTCAGAAACCAACAGACGAGGGGGAGGTAGAGGTCAAAACAAAGGAAACGCTCAAGTTCATGGCAGATCACAAGAGAGAGGTATGTCCTATGAAAACAATAATTGGTTTGAAGGATATTGCAATTATTGTGGTAATTATGGGCACAGAAAAAGAGATTGTAGAAAGTTTCTACGAGAGCAGCCACAGACGAGTCAAAATACTAGCCAAGAAGATGGTGAGACCATGGTTACTTTGTCATCAGACGCGTGTCTTGTGGCACATGGTGAACAAGAATGTTTACACGTAGGTACTCATGATGTTGAATGGGTGATTGATACAGCCGCATCATTTCACGCCACTCCACACCAGAACTTATTCACATCTTATAAGTCAGGAGACTTTGGAGCAGTGAAGATGGGAAACACCAGTTTCTCGAAGATTGTTGGCATTGGTGATGTGCACATAACAACCAATGTCGGATGCGCACTTGTGTTGAATGATGTTCGACACGTTCCGGATCTTAGACTGAATCTTATCTCCGGTACAACTCTGGATCAGCAAGGATATCTTAACCGATTCAAAGAAGGTACGTGGAAGTTATCTAAAGGTTCCTTGAATGTTGCAAGAGGCCATATTTGTGGTACTCTTTATAAAACTCATGCAAAGTTGTGTCATCCAAGTCTCAATGCTGTTGAAGAAGAGATATCACCAAACTTGTGGCACCAGAGGCTAGGCCACTTGAACGTGAAGGGATTGACAACTCTTGCAAAGAAGGAAAGCATTTCCATGGGCAAAGGTGTTGCCCTAGATCCATGTGAGCACTGTCTATTTGGGAAACAACACAGGGTTTCCTTCAATTCTACCAGAAAGAACCATACAGAGTTACTCAGTCTTGTCCACTCCGATGTATGTGGACCCATTGAAGAGGAGTCACTTGGAGGAAGCAGATATTTCGTGACATTCATTGATGATGCATCACGAAAGGTATGAGCTTACTGTTTGAAGAGTAAGGATCAAGTGTTAGATCGCTTCAAATTATTTCATGCCATGGTAGAAAGAGAAACAGGGAAGAAGCTGAAGTGTCTACGTTCAGACAACGGAGGAGAATACACTTCCCGGGAGTTCTCAGCATATTGCGCTGCGTATGGAATCAGACATGAGAAGACGGTTCCACGAACTCCCCAACACAATGGTGTAGCTGAAAGAATGAATCAGACCATTATGGAGAAAGTTCGTTGCATGTTGAGTATGGCTAAACTACCTAAGCCATTCTGGGGTGAAGCTGTGCTGACAGCTTGTTATCTTATAAACAGGTCACCTTCTGTTTCCTTAAACTTTGAAGGGCCAGAGAAGAAATGGTCATGTGCAAGGCATTTGCACATGTGTCCAAGGAGTTGAGACAGAAGCTTGATCTCAAGTCAAACCCATGCATCTTCATTGGCTATGGAGATGAAGAATTCGGATACCGGTTGTGGGATCCCGAAGTGAAGAAAGTTGTACGAAGCAGAGATGTTGTATTTCATGAAAACGAGTTTCATGGGTGTGCTCCAATAATCCGCCAACAGCATACTCCAGAAGACGAAGTGTCTATATCATCAAACATTCCCCTCAGTGACGAGGAGATGCATGATACTACTGAACAAGAGAGTGATGGTTCAGTAGGTGATGATGCTCACAGTGATGATATTCCTCAGCAGGGGGAGCCTTCATCTGAAGACGAAGCTGAAGGTATTCATGTTCGACGTTCTATGCGAGGCATAGTTCCACAAAGAAAGTATTCCACATCCGAATGGATACTTGTCAGCGAGGGGGAGCCAACGAGCATCGTAGGAATGAGAGAAACAAAGAAAAAGGTGGAGGGGGAGATTTGTAGAGATATTCCACCTTCTTTCTTGGAAGTTGCCAAGAGGCATCTCACACCTTCTAGGAAGGAGCCATCCAACATTGAGGTACTTCCACATCCCTTCATGGAAGTTGCTTGCAGATAGCTAGGAACCTCCCTAGCAATGGGAATGGAAGCTTGGATGCAACTTCCTCATGTCTCCCATATACAACTATAAATAGGGAGTGTATTGTTGTTCATTTGTAT